AGGGGAGAAGGGGGAAAAAAAATGGTGGCAGGAACGATGTCAGAAGATCAGAGAGATGATGAAAGAGCAGTGTAGAAACCCCCATGATGCTCTGCTCTCTGTCTTTTCCTCTCTTTCCCTCTGCTTCATGACTCATCAATCATCAGTGACACAACAGTCCCTGCTTGGCAATCAGGCCTCTTGCGTCTCTGCTCTCAAAGTGAGATATGGACCCTTTCTCTCCGTAGCAAGCAACGGGTTACAGGAGTGAAACAGCCAAGAGGTTTAAATTATTTCATGTGTCAAAGTATTTGATGAACCCCCCGCTGCCTGTAAAGTTACTTTCTTTTATTTCCTTTGAATAAATGAGGGGCCCAAAGACGTGTCCAAGACTTTAGATTAACTGCATGGCTCCTTGGAAAACTCTATTAGCATTCACTTACAAATCATCCTAGAAACAGCATTCACAAGTCCACTAGAGTTCACTTGGGACCGAGTGATGTAAATTTCCTCATCTGAAAGCGAGTACAAGGGTCAGTGAAAACATCCGCGTGCCTGCCAATCGGGTAACGGACGTCAGAGAAGTCACAGGAGTGACTCCAGCATGTCCGGGTCCACAAAAGACTGTAATCGATGCCTTGGTGTTATAGCAAGAGGGCAAAATCCCCTTATTTATCTCTACGCAGCATGCAGGTGACTTCATGTACCCTTAAAGACACTCACAGTTTAAATACAAGTTTCCCTATGTGTTGTCCATCAGCATGCAAGGAACGTAAGGAGGGTAACCTTAGGATTAAGGAAGGTATGAAGGTAAAAACACCAAGTGGGTCCTTGTCACAGTAGATGGCTCTTATTGGCGTAATGGTGGGCAAGTGCACTGATGGCTTGTAAGTGCCTCCTGTCAAAAAGCACTCCACGGATCTGTTTTCTTTAAGGGCGCACACTGATAGACGGGAACACAATTATGTGAAACTGCATAACCTACATAAACAAACTCAGAGTTACTGGCACGCACATTCATAAGACTCGTTTAGTGTCTCCAGTCTTCTACACAGCCATTAGAAAGAGATAAACGCTGATGATGGCTCCCTGCACAGACTAAAGCAGGAAATCAATTCACTGTATGGGCAGGAAGTGTTGTATTTTTGCCCACTTCGCATTAAAAATTCTGCTGACTGAACGTTCCAGTGGCACCATAACGAACAGCATTGCAGTTCAGAAAAGCAATGATCGCGGGAGCAGCCTGCCCACCGGGTGCCCACGATTCACCTCTGCTCGTTTTTTTTGGCTCGCTAGGGGCTCGAGTTGGTGAATCATTGCTTGTTGTGCGGCGGGGACGAAGTGAGCCTTTCTCGCTCCCCGAGCCCCTACCAATCTCCCATGTCTTCACACCTCTGTAGCCACTGGGCGAGTCGTAAATCTCCAACATTGCACCATCTTTTTGTTTCCATGACAATGCTCCGCAGATAATTTGCGCTGGCGTCTCCCCTGGGCGGATGTGTGCATTTGGGGGAGGAGGGGATTTCACCCCAGATTTAAAGTTCTAGAAGAGAAACACTCCCCAGTTCACCATTTTTAATTTAAAGAGGGAAAAAAGGACAGTTTCTTTCCCCATAAGGAAACCTGTTACCTTCCACTGTGTTTTCTTTTTCTTTTTTTAACCTGTTCAACCTGGTCATCTTTGCTATTTAGCCACACTGGCACTTGCACACATAGAAGGATCCTCAGTAACGCTGCACATAGCATGACTGTCACACTCAGGATGCCGATGGACACGGCTGATATGAGCTTTTCACTCCTTCACTGTACAGCAGAAAGCAGCTCACCACAACAAGCGTTGCTTAGAGACCATCTGTCAGTTCCCCACGGTCACCAGGCACTGTCGCCACGGTGACAGATGGACCTGCCTGTTGGAAGCCATCACTCCTCGCCGAGACCTAGTAGCACATACACACAGACACGCACCGTGGACAGACAACATAATCTGCTTAGTAATGGTTTCCGTTTAGTAACTGCTGGGTTGCCAGGTTGGTGCAACAGTTCCTATCTGTTGCAGGGTAGTGTACAAGGTGTACTGCTTTTTGTCAGACTGTACCCACCTTTGGCAGCTTGTTTTGCTGAATTTTTCGCACACAGATTTTGACTTGGTGTGTCAGTGCTTCGATTTGTATGTATTGATTCTGTTGGTAACAGTTCTTACTTTAAACTGTGCTAGTTTTCGCCTAAAATTCTTTGCCATGGTAAACTCAGGGTGTTCATATGAAAAGAAAACCAAGTCATCTTCCCTCAACTTCATGTGTTTTATTTCCTCTGGCAGTCAAACAAAAGTATTACTTCAAGCCACTTAAATTAATCTGTCACAGTCCTCAAAGATGCAGTAGAGTTCATTACTTTCCTGTCTTTGAAATTCACGCCGCTCTGTTGATATCTTCAATCATAAAAAAGAAAAATCCTAGTAGTTGGATTATTGGCTCTTACAAAAGAGTCTCGTGCCACTCGTGTTTAAGATTTGGTAAGCAGAGTAAAATGAAATGAAAAAGCGCCCACAGTGGTTCTGGTCCATTATTTGAGAGCTGGAGGCGCTGAGGATTTAGCTGAGCTCTCTCACTCAGGCTGTCAGTCTGCCGGCCAGGCCAAATTGCCCACCTGTCTAAAAATGCTCTTTCCCTCCTCGTGTGTGTAATTAGGACCGGAGGTTGGCCCAAACATCCACAATCCCTTTTGATCTGAGATACGCCCACAGATGTAAAGCTAACCTTTGCACAGTTGTGTTTTCCCTGTTTTTATTTGCTTTATGATTGAAACCGACATTTATTTCAATAATTGATTTATCTCAGTTTTTCCTATCCGATGTAGTTTCTCCAAAAAGTTGGAATATGAAACAAAAGCATAAACTCTAAATGGAATTCACTTCTTCAAATTCAAATCTGCACTTGCAGATTTCATTCTATTAAACTGGAATTTGATGTTTAAGTGAGTTTTGAGACGAAGGCAACAAAAGACTGAGGAAGTTGTGGCACGCTTGTCAAAACACCTAGTAGAGTATCTTGCAACTAATTAGAGTACAGCATCACTAAAAGACTAGAAATATCGCTATGCAGCTTGCAAGCACAAAAAAGAACGCCTCTCATGTTGTTATTGTTTAAATAACAAACATATTCAGTTCGTCTTTCAATTTTTAAAGCTGTTAATCCAAAAAAGTAAGCAAAAAACATGTGCTGCACATTATGAAATTCTGAATTTTGTGTGGCTGCAGAGCCGCTAAGAGGCACTGAGAGGGAGCAGCGGCAGATCAATTGCAGTGGACAGATGAAGGATAGTAAAACACTGTCCTGAGTCCTTGACTGACAGCCTCCTCGGTCCAAAGAGAAAACCTTGGGATTCAGTGGGATTATGTCTAGTATGCATCCTTTTTTTTTTTTTTTTTTATCAGATTGTTTCGCACTTCTGAATGAATGATTCCTATCGATTTGAAAAGGGGAGTAGCGGGGAAAGAAGGAAGAACTGCAGACGCAACACAGCTGGAGCTGTCAGTTGTGAATGAACCCAGATGTCTGAGAGATAAAGAAGACGAGCGCGTGTGTGTGCGTGTGTGTATGTAAGATGTTATCCTCTCAGCTTCCCTAAAGGATTGACACACAGTAGTGGCCCATTTTCGCAGATGAAGCACAGCCTACTCTTGTGCGTGCTTTAACACATCTTTTGTATGTCAGAGGAGCGTGTGTTTGGCCAGCACTCCACTCGCTGCTGAACTGTAACGTTGTAGATGGAAATAAAACCACACTTCTTGTATTTTCTTTCTTTCGCGCACTCCTCCACGCGTTCTCATATCCGTGCTGCCGCTTTTTTCACGCGGAGCCGAGGGAGGGAGCGATGTGTCTAAGGAGCGCGTTTACCTGGTCGGAGCCGAGCTGTGTTGGTATTTCAGTAATCTGTCAGTCTTTTCCGTCTGTGTGCGCGCTTTGTCAACGATCTTGCTGCAAACGATATTTTCTGGTCACTGCTCACTTGGGCAGAAGCAGCGTGGCTGTCATACTTTAAGCACACCTTGATTTGTGTCGGACGCCTGCCTGTGAGAGTGCATGTGTAGCTGCATAGATGTTTACCAGCATGTGGGGGTGGGAGGGGAGGCTGGGATGGAGCGTACAGAAGAAGAAGAGGGAGGGAGGGAGGGAGGGTGATGATGCTGAGGGAAGAAAAGGGAGGGAGGGAGGACAGTGTGCAGTGAAGTAAGAGAGAGAGAGAGAGGGAGAGAGAGAGAAAGGAACAGGGACAGGAAAAAAAGGAAAAGGCAGCAGGGAAGGGAAAGACTGGGAGGACGCGCCAACTGCCTATAGATGTTGGAGCCTTTGACAGCGGAGCGCGGTGCTCAGCGGACACAGGAAGATGGTCTCAGTAAGAGGGGAACTGACGGTTGCCTATAATTTAATGTTCAATATCTTGGACTCCTTCTCCATGGGTAATGCTACGGCCAGGAACTCCAGAGCAAAGCTTGCTTTTCTCCTCTTTGACAATCTTCTTTTTATTCGCCGGCTTTAGGTGCTTTCCAGGATCCTGTCTTTCCCCTTAACTCTCACTCGTCCTCCCTCAAACACACGCTCACTTGTGCGCGCCTCCGTTGGGTAGCCAGGGTCTCGAGAGCGCTGGCTTATCCCCCCCGGCGCTGGCCGCGCTCTTCTGCCGCACCAGTCAAGCCAAAACGCTGGCCGCGGCAGCGATGCAGATAGATCGCGCTGCCTGCTCCCCACCTCCCCCACACCCCCCTCCTCCAAAACGTAAGCCACGGATGGGCGAGCGAATGAAATCAAGCAGGGAAAGAGAGGAAAGGAAAGAGAATGAGACGAGAGCTAGATTTGCTCTGTTGTGACAATGTTGGGGAGTCTGCGTTAATCTTTTTTTCCCCACCCATGTTTTTTTTAATTTCCCCTTTATTTTAATGTGAAATAAATGTTCTAACTCCTTTGGTAACATTTTTCTCTTTCTCTTTTTTTCCCCTTCCGTTTCTCTGTCTGGCTTCACAGGAGTGGCACCTGCAAAGAAGAGCCCTAAACTGGTAAGTAGTTGTTTTAATCTTAATTTTTACATCCATCCACCTCTGTCCACCTCAGTCCTCTAACCACATGCGTGCGTCTTTCTGAGGGATGTCTCAATATCATCATCTCTCCCTTTCCCACCTCATCACTAACTCTAACTGCAACTTGTGCTCATGTTGTGGGTCGGTTTGTGGACATGGGATACTGTACCGTGCGGGGGTGGATTCCTGTAGCTTCACATCAGCCCCCCCCTTCTGACGGGGGATGGGACGAGGAGCTTTGATGCACCGCGTGAGCTGGGTTGCTAACACGCCGATGATCGCATCGCACTGAGTGCTAAGTTTGCAGTGTGAGCATTGATGTATGATCACAGCTGAGAGACTGCTCCATCCTGTAATGTCTTTATTAAAAGAGAGACCCCTGTAGACTTTGCAACTGAGGACATGTTTGCCAATATTGTTTTGCAGGATGATTTTGACTCTCCACACAGAGATTACACTAGGAGGATATGCAGTGGTGCTTTTGAAATGATGGTGCTGTAGTATTAGCGCTGGGTAGTTAATGGTATTCTCATAGCTGTGCATAAGTGGTACAGTTCAAGCGTCACTCATGATGGTATTGGAGTGTATTAGTGCGCACAGCATGGGTAAGCCCCCCCACTGTGTAGGCACCACTAAAGGTGCAGGATATTATACAGTTTTATAGAGAAGCGATGTTAAACATAAGGCGAGGGGGGCAGAAATGGCCTAGCAAAGACTCCAATCTAGCCCACTGGAAGGGAAAATGTGAATGAAACTTTTAATTGTATTTTCATAAGTTTTACAGCTTAAAGACTTTCACCATTGCCATTCTCACTACACCAAAGCAGTTACGTAAGACATAAACCGTTAAATGTTAGTAAAAAAAAAAAAGAGGAGCTTTTCTATCTACTACTAATTTCTTTCTTTTTAAAATATATATCTATAACCAACTTTTAGAAAAATCTATGAATAACCAAAACTTTGTTTTATAAATACAGGACAGTCTGGGCAGTGAGCTACCAGAATGTTTTCAGTAATTTTACTTGGTGGCACTATTCAAAGGACCCTGTAGACTGTGTCTGACAGACCATGTATTTGCCAATTTTGTTTTGCAGGATGATTCTGAGGTGGAATCTTCATACACAGATAACAGTAGGAGGGTATGTGATATTGTTTAGTTGGTGGGAAGGTTTTTAGAAATGAGGTGTTATGATATTATTGGTGTTGGTTTGATAATCCTTAGCTGATAAAAGAGATGGTGGATAAGCTGCCAGTGATAATTATAGCATTACGTAATGTTTAACATTAACATTGTGTTTAGGCGTACGAGGCTATTTATGTGTGACAAATCAAATCATGACTCTTATGTCACTACATAATGCAGTGCATAAAGACATGAGTCTGCAGGTGACAGAGCAGTACAGAGCTAAACTTTAAAATTCCTTTTGGGTGCCGTACCTTCAGGCTAGATGAGATGGGAACCATCCATCGTTTTATCAGCGTACAGTTCAAAAGTCTTTATTTCAGGTATTACCAGAAAGACCCTGTAGAGAGTGTCTAACAAAATGTGTTTGCCAATTTCATTTTGCAGGATGATTTTGAGCTGGATCCTCCATACGGAGTTAACACTAGGAGGGTATGTGATGTTTTTTTAAGATGGGGAGAAGGTTTGACTGAGCTAAACTGGTAAAACTTAAAATTCCTTTTGGGTGCTGTACCTTCGGGCTAAATAAGAGAGAAACCATCCATCTTGTTATCAGCACACAGTTCAAAAGCTTACAATCATTATGGAGTGCATTAGTGCAGGAGTAATCCCCACGTCTTTCAAAGCACCAGTAATGCTGAAGAACAAAAACATATTTCAGAATTTCAGAGCAACACATGAGACAATCTTGATGATGCCCCCCCCCCCCTTTTTTTTTTTTTTAGAAAGCCCTTGCTTATTTCAGCAAAATAATGCACAGCATTCCTCACATATTATATGAGCAGGACTCTCTTTTTAAAGAGTCCAGGTGCTGACCTGCTTGCAGCATTGTGAGAAGGAGTCTGTAAACTGAGCATGTTTTTGTTTTTTTTGTTTTTTTTGGGGGGGGGGGTGTTTTGCTGGATGATTTTGAGCTGGATCAGCCTTACAGAAAATACACTAGTAGGGTATGTGATCATGTTTAGAACGGGTTTAGGCTGTGGTGGGTTTATGATGGTTCTGGTGTCCTTAGCAAATAGTAAAGGTTATGGATGAGCTGTCAGTAGTGCTGGTGTTATTGCATGATACATTTCAGCTCTACGAGGCTGCTTAGGTGTGACACAACATGCTTTGGTCCTTCTGAATGCTGGGTCCTTCTTGCTGAATATGAAATGAACCATTGATCTCATTATCAGTGCGCTGTTGAAAAGCCAGCACTCATGATGGTGCTATTACATGCAGTATGGTTGATCCACACATCTGTGAGAGCAGCTTCAATGATACATTATATATGCAAGTTTTGGAGCAACCATCCCGATCATGACTTTTAAAGAAAGCCTCTTGTTATTAAAGCAAGTTGATAGCACGCTACACTCTGTAAATGTTACATAACCATGGCTCTGTCATCAGAGACCAGGAGCTAAACTGACCAGGATAATGTGTGTTTGCCAATTTTGCTTCGCAGGATGAATTTGAGCCGGATCCTCGATATAGAGAGAACATTAGGAGGGTATGTGATGCTGTTTACATGCCGTGAAGATTTTAAGGATTAAGCTCCCAATGATAACTGTGTTAATGCATAATGTTTTTACTGTATTTACTCTTTGGTTGTGTGATGATGTTGGCAGCTTGGCATGACACAGCTAATCTTTGAATTTTGGGGGGGATATTGCATCCTTTAGGTTCAATAACAGAGAGGAACATTTATCTCACTACAAGCACATAATGTAACAGTCAGTGTTCATGATTGTATTGTACACAAAAATTATGATTTTCTTGTGAAGCGACCAATGCCAAACCCAGATAATGTGCTTTAAAAGACAGCCTTGCTTATTTCAGCAAGTTATTGCCAAACCACATTGTGCATGTATTTTGGAGCTTTTTTGTATTCATGTTTTAAAAAAATGTTTTTCAGGATAATTTTGCAATGGCTCCTCCAAACAGAGATTATAGAAGAAGGGTATGTGATGTCATTTAAAGTTTTTGAGAGTGAGGTGTAATCATGCTGGTGCTGGGCAGATGATAGAGATGGTATTCTTATAATGTTAATACAAAGTGATCATATTTTAATGCATTCAGGCTTAAATTGTCTCACACAGAAAGATATTATGTGTGACTCAACAAACTACTTATGACTGTTAATGCTGTGCTACATAAATGTACATATTACATGAGCATGGAGCCATAGCACCGAGCTCGGGTGCTACACTGGCCTTGTTGCAGTTTAGAAGTGTCATTCAGGCATTATTAGACTGGACATGTTTGCCAATTTCTTTTGCAGGATGATTTTGAGGTGGCATCTTCATACGCAGATAGCACTAGGAGGGTATGTGTTATTGTTTAGATGGGGTGACGGTTTTAGGAATGAGCCGTGATTGGTGGTGGTTCTATAATTCTTAGCTCATAAGAGAGGTGATGGATAAGGTGCCTGGGAGAGCAGTGTAAATGCTCCATGATGTAATGCCTTTATTAATAGAGGGATTCTGCAGACTGTATGTAACTGAAAATGTGTTTGCTAATATTGTTTTGCAGGATGATTTTGAGCCGGGTCCTCCATACAGAGATAACACTCGGAGGGTATGTGATATTATTCAGAGGTGGTGGAAGTATGAATGACAATGGTTATGGTGTTCTTGTAACAGATGAAAGCAATGAATAAGCTGCCAGTGATAATCATGTTCATCCATACTGGTTTTACTAACTGTCTGGTTGTCAGAAAAAGTAAATATGACTGTTAATTCTGTAGTACACAAAGGCGGTTAACCAAAGTCAAGCTGGCTGTTAGCTTAGTAGGACAATGGTAAACTTTGAAGTTTGAATGTTTTTCAAGGTTAATTAAGAGAGGAACTATCAATCTCATTAAAAACAAATCGTTTTAAAAAGCTGTTTCTGTGACAGCATTGGATTACAATATAATATGTATAGGTTTTAGAGCAATCCACATCATTCCTTTTAAAGGAGGGACTTGCTTATTTCAGCAAGACGATGTCAAACCACATTCTGCACATTCTTATTTTTCAGGATAATTTTGCGATGGCTCCTCCATACAGAGATAACAGAATAAGGGTACGTGATGTCATTTAGACAAATTGAAACTTTTCGGGAATGACCTCGTGTGCGTAGATGGTACGGTGTGGTCCTCTTATAAAGATAATAGAGGGGATGGGCATGGTGTCAAAGATCATGGGTTTAATGGATGAGGTTTCAATAGAATATTTTAATGCAAGATGCTGTTTATGTGAGGCCCTGCATTCTAGTTATTGCTGTTAATTTAGTAGTACATAAGGACAGTGAACCCAATTTAGGCCTGCTGCTGATTTTTCAGAACAGCACTAAGACTCCCTTTGGTTGCTGTAACTTCAGGCTAAATGAAACGGAAACCTTCCATCTTGTTATCGGCATACAGTTCAAGTTATCATTCATGATGGTATTGCAATGTATAAGTGTATATCTGTGACGGCCCCACCAATGCTGAATAACATATCTAGGTTTTAGAGGAACATATCCCACCATCATGATGATGCCCATTAAATGCTAAACCAAATTCTGCACATATTACAAGATCAAGAGGCCTTAAATAAAGAGTCCAGGAGCTAAACTTTGCCTGCTTGAACTTTGTCTGACAAAATATGGCTGCCAATTTGTTTTTGCAGGATGGTTTTGATATGGATTCTTCTCACAGATAATATTCAAGGCGGGTTTAAGAAAGTCTTAAATTATTTCAGCAAGACAGTGCTGAAATAACAAAGGACACAAGCATGACTCTACATCAAAAATGCCAAGTGCTAAACTGGGCTGGTTCCAGTGCAGATCTTTC